CTGTCAGAAATCATAGCACGTCAGCTGTCTTAAACGCGTTTTGTGTACTGCATCATTACTGTGTCTGTTCCCCTTTCGGGCTTGAACTGATGGTAAAACTAATGACATTATTTACTGTCTTTACATTTATTTTGAAAGATGAATCTTGCGATTATGGTAAGGGGCGTTACATTTCCGGCGAGTGCTTGCGGTGTTCGGCCAATCACAATGCACTGGGTCAGCTGGCCAATCAGAGCAGACTGCGCTTGTCGGAAGGAGGGACTTTGTAGAAAACGAAGCGTTTGAGAGAGGCGGGGCATAGAGGACCTACAATAATGTACAGTATTTGAAAAATAATGTGTTTTTTGAACATTAAAGCATGTCAACATATTCTGTTACACCAAATACACAAATTAATGATCTTTTAAAAAGCATCATATGACCCCTTTAACATTGAGTAAAAAATAAGTTGATGATTGCATTTTACAGCCACTAGAGGACAGGGTTAAACAACAACGACATGAATTCAAGAGAACGTTTTATTAGGGACTGTGTCTATAAATTAGTTATTAATTACAGACGTGTGCTTTCAAGATAAAGATATTAAAATAGGTTGTCTTAAGGACTGGCTTGTTCAACAATGAATATACAAAAGCAGAAGCTGTGAGAGCTTGAGTCACAGTGATTCTGTAAAGTAGGAAGTGTGACTAAAAAAAATGTTTTTGGTTTAATAGGTTGAAACATTTGCTGTTGTAATTGTTTTTGTATCTCCTTGTATTACCTTAGCTATTTGCCTATTAGGTAAGATTAGTGATTAGTGTTAGTTTTCAGAACATGTCAGCTGCTTTCTTCTGTGATAATACCGTTTGTATGTCTAAAAACCTGTAAAAGCTGTCAAAAAAGACATTGAATGTTCTTTGTTTACTATTTGATGCACTATACATGTGCAAGAATGTGTGTGCATAGTATACAAACAGTTTTTATAGCCTAGGCTACTACAGTTTTTTTATTGCAAGTATAAACTCTTAACATTCAACAATTAATCTAACATTGGATGACATTATGAATACAGAAATGATATAGGAAGACAAAGAAGAAAAAATAAATAAGAATAGCCTACTACAGTTCCACCACTACTCTCGGTGACTTGACGTCGCGTACAGTAAATCTGTAAATCCGGAATCTGTCAAGTCATTCTGACTTGCTCATAGCAAAACCAGGATTAGTGATGGTCTTTCAAGATAAAGGAGCAGGTTTCACTCCTTATAGAGGTTACACCTAAATATGTATGCCTCAAGCCGCGCAAAACGTTCGTATATGGCATTTACTGAGCTTTATCTGCTGATTACATATATTTGTGCTGTGTAGTGGTAGGCGGGGTTACAGAACCTCATAATTCCATGATTGGTCCGTTGTCTTCATTGGAGGCGGGGCTACTTGGCCGTGTTCACGCTATGATGCGGCTGCTACTCTGACTGTCAATGAAGCAGGAGCTTTCAGAAGACGTACACAGTAGACCAGTAGAAGACAGACATCAAAATCATCAAAATGATTATCATAATTGAGGATAAGGTATGTATATAATACCAATATTTGAGCTGCTACCTTAACTTTGACTGTAACTCTTTATAGGTAATGCACGTTAATTATGTTTGACTTCTGATGTCTATGAAAACAATGTATTCGAATAGGTTAATAACTTTAATAAAAATGCGTTTATATAGATAAAAATAAGCTATAACCGCATGTCGTTTTTTTTTTAACGAAACTGCTTGCGGAACAAATGTGGGCGGAAACGTTTACACACGAGAACGTGTATTGGTTTCTAGTGTTCTTAAAGAAGCTCCAAGCAGAGTACAGTAATGAAAAGTACATTTGTTCTCAGTTACTTTTTAAACAGGACGATTTAATAAGTGGCTGTTAGTTAGGAAGTGTTTGCTTGTGTAAACAGCTGTGCAGTTGTGATGGGAGGTCTGACTCAAATCGGTTCTTTCGAAAAGTTCATTTCACAAACTGATTCAGTGGCTCTTCAGTCTCTGATATAAAGTCTGAAGCAGAAATCCATCTGTTGTCATGTTACTCGAACATTACAATAAAGCCACGTGGAGGGTGCTTTTGTAATTGATTGTGTTGATTTCAGCTGTACTTCACCTTATAAATATATAATTAAATCTAAATATCATTTACATTAAATAATACAAATCAATTACTTTGGCTGATTTTCTAAACGCTTGAATCATTGTAAGTCAGTCATTGGCCGTGTTCACGCTATGATGCGGCTGCTACTCTGACTGTCAATGAAGCAGGAGCTTTCAGAAGACGTACACAGTAGACCAGTAGAAGACAGACATCAAAATCATCAAAATGATTATCATAATTGAGGATAAGGTATGTATATAATACCAATATTTGAGCTGCTACCTTGACTTTGACTGTAACTCTTTATAGGTAATGCACGTTAATTATGTTTGACTTCTGATGTCTATGAAAACAATGTATTCGAATAGGTTAATAACTTTAATAAAAATGCGTTTATATAGATAAAAATAAGCTATAACCGCATGTCGTTTTTTTTTAACGAAACTCTGCTTGCGGAACAAATGTGGGCGGAAACGTTTACACATGAGAAC